AAGGACAACAACGGCCAGACTCAAGGTGGCCAGGGCCAGGCTCAGGGAAATCAGGGCCAGGCTAAGGACAATAACGGTCAGACTCAAGGTACCCAGGGAAAGATTGAGGCCCAGTCTGGAATTTACCTGAACAGTACACAAGGCGGCGGATACCGTTTCCAAGGCCGCCCAGATCCCGCAAACGGTGGTAAGGGAAACCAAGCTGCTGCAGGTCCTGTTCAGGGTGGCCGAGGCCGAAACAGGGGCGGTGCCAACCAAGGCAACCTGTACACTGGCAATCCGCGGAACGGAACAGATGTCAAGGCAGCACAGGACCCGGCCACATCTGAGAGCTGTGATTATTGATACGGGCACTTCATATCAAAATTGTGTTTCTTAATTTCCCTCAGATAGGACTTCATGTACAAAACACTCGTGGTTGGCAGTCCTGAGCTGGAAAATGTATTTTCAGTGTGTTATTTGATCTAAGTGGCCATCATCTCAATAAGGCCTCCCATTTAAATATCATGGACCCTCAATAACAGTGATCCATCCACTTGAGTATCTTGGCCTGCTGTCACGATGGATCTCGCATTGTGGCAATGGCTTGAAGGAGGCCTAGGCCTGCGACTCTGTACTGGCATGAACGCCCCAAGTTTTAAATCCTCGACAGCTTTTTCTCCGTTTTGCTTCTCAGAGTTGACAATTCACCGCCCTAGTTCCCAGAGGGCATACTGCTACAGTAAGACCAATGGTTTGGTATCTTAGTAGAAGCCCTTGGTTCAGGACACAACGGTTACGTTGACGAAACCATGACGTCCTCGCGGTCGGAACATGGAGCCGAACGTATAGACGAGTCAAAGAACATGAGACTATGCATGCATGATCGATCAGGAGGTGTCAGGTTGGTTGCACGTCGTGGAGTACTGATCTGAAACCCGACCCCAGACCTATTCGCCTGTCCAGAAGAGGAAAGTCTGATTACCAACGACCTCTCATCCTCGAAATGATATTCGCCCTCTATGTCAATAGTGTGTCCCCACGCTCCTATGTTTGTCTGAAGGGACCAGGGCTCAGTGATGATATATATTAGAGCTCGCGCGCTGCTCTTTTCAGACCATCTCATGACTTTCTCGTGAAATCAACACACATCAGCATCCTCCCTTTTAGCTTATCACCAATACTCTGGATCACGATTGACATTGTTTCAGAAATATAGAGAACAATCGCCTCTTTAACGCAAAGTTTGCAATGCATTTCAAAATATCACATCTTATACTTGCCTTAACTCACTCCATTGTCGGCGCCTCTGCCCAACCCTCGGGATCATCTTCGTGTAAGGCCGCCAGTCCGGCTGAGAAGGCTGTTTACCTTCTATCGAATGAAGTCAAGAACAGCGTCATCGCCTTACCGATTGGCGTCGACGGCTTGCTTAAGGCTGGCCAGCAGACTGCAACCGGCGGGGCAGGCTCTAATGCCGTTGATAGCAGCACAGGGCAGCCTGCTGCCCCGGATGCTCTAGTGTCTCAGTCTGCCTTGACTGTAGCCGGACATGTAAGTGTTTTCCTTGATACCTTGCATATACGTCTCCCATCATTCTCTTTCAAGACAGTCGTCTAACTACAGTCCTGCAGAGCCTGTTTGCGGTCAACGCCGGTTCCAACACGATCACCATGTTCCGCATAGACAAGAAAGATTCTACCAAGCTCCAAGTCGTCGGCAGGCCCGTCGCGGTGCCAGGCGAGTTTCCCAATACGGTAGCAGCGTCTTCAGAAAATGGAATTGTCTGTGTCGGAACGTCTGGTGCAGTGGCGGGTGTTTCGTGTGCACCTTTTACGAAGAATGGCATAGGTGCCATGGACAACCTCCGCCCTTTTGACTTGAAGCAGACCACACCGCCCGTCGGACCGACAAACACAGTCTCCCAGGTCTTCTTCTCAGACGACCAGAACACTTTGTTCACTACTGTCAAGGGAGATCCCACGAAGAACAATACCGGGTTCCTCTCCTCCTTTGCTGTGCAGGCCAGCGACGAAGGAGCATGTGCCGCCTCTGTTAGCCAGGAGGATAGGCGAACATCCCCAGAGGGCACAGCCGTACTCTTTGGCTCGTCCGTCATTCCTGGAACCACTGACATTTTCGTCACGGATGCTTCCTTCGGTGGCGCTGTACTTTCTGTGGATGCCAACAACGGCAACACTACTGTCAAAGGCAAGGGGCCCGTGGATGGCCAAGCTGCGACGTGTTGGGCCACCGTTTCCCCGGCTACGGGCACAGCCTTTGTTACGGACGTTGGAAGGAACAGGTTGGTGGAGATGGCCACAGCGGATGCTGAAATCATCAGCGAGATCGACTTGAGCGCTAACGGCGATCCTGGTCTGATTGACCTCAGGGCTTCCGGGCAGTTCATCTATGCCCTCAGTCCCGGGAATGGAACAACACAAGCCGCAGTGACGGTCGTGGATGCCAAAAGCAAGAAGCAGGTCCAGCATTTACAGTTGGGAAGCATGGGGGCTGGCAAGAATACCATGGGAATGGCAGTGTTGGCTTAGATAGATGTCCCGGCGAATTAGTTTCCTTAGTTTTATCATGGTTTGTATAGGCTTCGTCAAACGACGCAACCTTTGATAGCTTGCCGGCAAGCCTTAAATCGAATAGATATCATGCTGTAGTCACGAAATGAGGTCAAACTGGCGTCACATCGGTGCCCAAGGCCCGTGAAGCTGGTATTGTTCAAGAGCTCCTCACCAGGCGGTACGTCGCCAATCGTCTGAGTCTGAAACATTACGGCGGTAGTGTTCCCATCCTTCTCCGACTACTTTCGATGACAATCATTACTTCAAAAGCAATCTTGATGCGTTCCTTTCAAATTAGCACCCTGACATTGGAATGTCTCGTCGGATACTTTCTTCTTTGCGCCATCACCTGGTTTGCAGCCTGCACCAGATGAGCCCAGATTCTACACAGGCCTGATTTCATGGCCACTTCGGGCGACTTCGGGTGCCTCTGTGTTCCGACTGGTCATATTTGGCCAATAAAACCTTGGCCTGTACGAATAAATCTCCGTTCCTCCGACAAGATAGCTCCTGGGAGTGGTGTAAGCATACATCTGCTTGGATTCAGATAAGTTGCGTCAGATCCAGTAATCCACCCGAGAAGGCTGAGTGTTCGTACGGTTTGTTGGTAATTAACTGACCTACCGCCGACAGTGGTGCAGATACCGTTGCAATACACCCTACCAACAGAACATCGCTGCGGAAGCAGCGAGTAGAAGAGGTCATCAAGACAATCATGTGCTCAAACGAGGAACGTGGAAATTATCTGTCTAACGACCACCTCTGGCATTACCCTTTTTTCGGATTTACACGCTGTTAAACCTGTTGGAACTGAGCTCTTTTAAGGAATAATCAATTAATACCAACTCGACGACCCTTCCCGCGTCGCAGCCATCATCTCCGTCATTGGGCTCTCAGCGGTCTCGTCGATGCATGCCCCCCAACAATATTGGTAATGCTGCAGTGGCCGCTCTTTTGTCAATTTTGAACACGCTCGAGGAAACGCATATCACAAGGAAAGCGGTATCACATATCCGCCTGATACGAGACACAGGCGTAGTCAACCCTGTCGGTGTCAGCACGCACCGCAGAGCTCATGTTATCACCGCCGGTAGCCTACCAGTTTGCAATTACCACACCCCAGATGGTCAGCCAGCCGTTGAAAGCGGCGACCTTGTCTCTGTCTTCATGGCCGGAAGTTCCGGGAGCCCAGTTGGGGATGACGGCAAAGCGGAATTTGAACCCTCTCAACTTTGACCGTCGAACGCAGGAGCTGGAGGAATCCCTGGATTGGACCTAGGCCTTCATTTCCACGACCCGGGCTTGTACTTCCCTGGAAGTACTCTCTATTCGTTCTCTTAAGTTAGACGCCTTCGAAATCGGAATTCTGATTTGATTTTCCTGTTCCAGTAACTCTGCTCTATCAACGGAGCGTTGCTGAATCTTTGATTGCGCAGAAGTCCCATAAGAATACTCCGAGGTGGATACAGCGTCTCAAGTAATTTCAGGATATGTTACGCAGACATGGAAGTGATTTGACCGCTTGATGTCAGAGGGTGCACGTAACAGATGGTTCTTTCGAAAAGAAATGTGTTTCAGGGATGAATGCTGACGAAGGCTGAGCAGATCTTGATACGTTCGTTCCACACTAGACATTGTGAGTCTTTGCCATGCACGATTCCCGAAGTTCCACCAGCTATTAAAGACACCTTGAGTATAAGGTTTCTGTACGAGTCGCTGTAGCTAAGATGAAATATATCCAATATGGCGTCTGGAGATTAAGTGGCGTTCCAGTTCGAGAATTCTTCCTTAAACTCCTCCCGCCATCGACTCAGAGGCGGGCGGCGGTGTACCAGATCTTGTGCGGCCCAGGCTATTCTTTTGGCATCCATCTCCTCGGTAACTTCATTGTCGGGGCAAATGATGTAGAACTCGTTTTGAGTCATCTTCTCGACCAGGTAGTTGGCAACCTGCTCTGATGTCCAAGCACCGGCGGGTTTCTCGCCACTTGATTGAGCGTTGCTCCGGCCCAAGCCCGTGAATGTCCAACCTGGCACAAGAAGATGCACGTTGGTTGTTGTATCATTAAGATCGTACGACAGATGCTCCGCGATCGACTTGACAGCTGACTTGCTTGCGTTGTATGCAGGGTTGCTAGGCGGGTTGGTGATGCCCTGCTTTGATCCGGTGATGACTATGGCAGAATCAGGCGTGGCCTTGATCGTTGGCAAGAAGGTGGAAATGCCGTGAACAACGCCGAACAAGTTGACGTCGAAGATAGTTTGAAAGGACGAGGTGTCTTCCCATCCAGACGAGGGTTGGATGCCAGCGTTCAGGAAAAGAAAATCAAGACGACCTGGATTCTACGTTAATAGGTTGCATAGCAAAATGGACGTACACGCCCAACAGGAGGTTATCGCGTATGCCTGGCCGAAGCGTCAACGTACCCTGAAAATTACCATCGACAAGCTTCTGGAGCCGAATCCAATCTTCGGCTCGACCAACATCCATCTCAAGAGTGGCAAGCGCACTTCCGAGATTTTGTTTCGTCTCGGTCAGCTTGCCGCTGTCTTTATCCGCAATAACGACCTTCATTCCATGGTCCAAGCACTTTTGGGCGACCGCCAGGCCGATGCCCGATGCGCCTCCAGTGATCACTGCCGTCTTCGAGGCTTCAAACGTGAATGGCGCCATCGCAAGAGTGTCCTCGAACTTTGGGGGGTTTGAGTGACGGGCGTGATATTAGTCGAGTAAGTAAATTATTCAGAGACCCGCGTTGTTCGTGTGCGGGGAACAAGTTTTAGTCTAGCGAAGCGCATATTTTGAAGCCGCTGACCAAGCATTCTGCCAATGGCCGGGGAACTTTAAAGCTGAGCCTATCTATACAGAAATCATAAATCGCTATCTTGACGTCACTTAACGATTGAGAAGATGGAGGGGTTGCCCAATGATGAAACAGACAACCTTATGGTCTACTCTGTTGGAGCTGAAAGAAATCGTGGCCTGCGCGTGCAGATACTTGATCTACCCTGTTATACGAGCACCAGCACGGGCTTCGAAGCCGTCAATATACATATATTATATCACCGCTCATCTCGGTTTGATGTGATACAGCTACTATTCTTCCACGGGTGGTATGCTAAGACCCCTAAACCTCGTTCGTAGCAGGCACGCCCTTGTCTGACTACACTGATTCTCCTCCATGCCAGGATTCTTTCTTGAATCACTGCAGCTGATCCCCCAATTGGCAGAACCGTCAGAAGATTCAGAAGTCTTCCATGTGGTTGGCCCGTCAATCCCCAGGTATGGACTCGCTTTGTCCCCAAGAAAGGTCAGCTTTGGGCTCGAGCAACACGCGCAATGGTTGAACTGCTCATTCTTAATGGTGTTAACCTGTCACAGATAACTGGGACCGGTAACAGTCTAGTATGTCTCGCGGCTAAAGAAGGCCACGGCGATGTTGTCGATTTATTGCTCCGCCACGGCCTGTCAATCGAGTGAACGAACGGCAGTGGGCAAAGTCTTCTATTATTTGCCCTTGGCGGCGGTTCTATGGGAGCGGCCTAGCTTCCTCTCGATGGGGTGCGAACCCAAACCACAATGACGAGATAGGGGTGATGCCACTTATGATCGCTGCTATTTCGATAGACAATTACAAGTGTCTTGCTCAACGTTCGCCTGCGGACCTGGTCTTGCCCGAATTCGCTAGCTTCAACCCTCTCCATTGGGCGGCGACGTATGAACAGCTGAACTGACCTGAGTATGAGTACCTTGTATCTCAGTCTGATATCAACCAAACCTTACGGGCCTGGAATTATATGACTCCCTTTTTAATGGAATTTGCAAATGGCCATAACCGTGCAGCTTGTATAATTAACCGCTTGGTAAGCGATGTGGGCAGCCATCATGTGCTTCTCCTGTCAGCTCTCGTGTGGGTTATGGTGGGCGCAAGGGTTGGTCGCGTCTCGAATGATTCCGGAAGATATGAGAACGATAAGTGAAAGCCCCTGAACAGATGGCAGGGTTGCGGGCAATGGCGGAGACTACGAAGAGATGTTTTGAATTTGCTGCTTGATTTCATGTTTTCAATATTTCAATCATGCTCTTACATCAGTGGCTTTTGGCAGCTTGGAGCCGCTTGAATATGGTGAACGCTGTATTTCAGATTCTGCTGAGGAGACTCGTACATCGACAAGGCCACCACGCTCTTTGCCGCCGCGATGTCATGGTGTTACTATGAAACATAGTTTCTTTGTGGAACCCAAGTATTCTTGAACTCACAATCTTCTCTTGCCCAGAAATATGCAAGAACTTGACTTGTTGAAGCCACACAGTAATTTTAACGCACTAGATTGGCGCTGTGGCCGAGCAACGGCAATTTACGTGCTCTAATGGCTACTGAAGCTGATCAAACGCGGCAAGTTACCCGATGATAATCAATCATGTTAGCTCTATTCCTGTTTTAAAGATACGTTCCATGAAAAGTAAGTTCTTCAGACGTAGAATGCGCACCGGCGTATTTGCTTGAGATGGAGGGTTGTTTATGCCCATGAAACAGGCTCAGACCTCAGTGACTGATGAAAGCAGACTAATTTATAGACAAGATCGTAATACCATAGAGTAGACATTCAGAAAATTAGCTGAGATGAAGGTGTATGGAAAGTACCTGGACACGAATAGAGAGACGAAGTCAACAAAAGGTGATAAGCCATCTAATAGAGAGGTGGTCGGTGACTATATCATTTGTGAAGAGACCCTCAGGAAACTGGCCGTCACTTGTAACCAAAGCCAGTTCCTAAACATGTCAGTCAGATTTTGTGCATGTAGTATTCGGATTTTGGTCAAGTGTTCCTTTCTTTATACCTCCTCGGATTTTCTGCTTGCTCGACACGCCGGTCTGATGGACCACCTTTCGTGTGCCCTCTCTTCTGCTAGACTGCGACCCGGGAAGAGAAGTCGTCTACTTCTTCTTGCAATGCAGCTCGTATCTCAGAGAT